AAAAAGTTGTTTTTCCCAAAAACACACCCTTTGGAGGGAGTAATAATAATAAAGGATTATTACATATAAATGGACTTAGTGACCCATATTTACTCATACATTGAGTCAAAGTCAATAATTTCTCTAAAATGTGTTTGACCCAAAAGCTGAGGTGGCACATGAAAAAAATACTGTTTCATATTTCTGCTGCCTAAAATACCCTTCTTCCTATTTTATGTGTTGCCTAAAATGCCCTTTTGCGAAGGTACCACTTTTTTTCCAAGGGTACCACATTTTTGGATTGAAGGTACCACTTTTTGATGTCCAGGTACCATGTTTTAAACACTCGTTTAGTTAGATTGGAGAATATTTTGTGTTACTCATGGCGTTAATGGAGCTGTTTATGGATGTAATATACAACCTAATTAGCGGTGTGGGATTTAATACCATTTTCAATTGCAAAAATAAGTCCATTTTTTTGGCGTCGAGGTACCATATTTTCTAAACACTCTAGCTAGCTTGGAGAATATTTTGTGTTATTCATGATCCTAATGGAACTATTTATTGATCCACTGTACAACCTAATTAGCGGTGTAGGGTATAATACCATTTTCAATTGCAAAAATAAGTCCCTTTTGCGAAGGTACCACTTTTTTTCCAAAAGTACCACGTTTTTGGACTGAAGGTACCACTTTTTGGCCTCCAGGTACCATGTTTTCTAAACACTCGTTTAGCTAGATTGGAGAATATTTTGTGTTATTCATGGCATTAACAGAGCTGTTTATGGATGTAATGTGTAACCTCATTAGCGGTGTGGAGTTTAATACAATTGTAAAAATAAGTCCTTTTTTTTTTTTGCGTCGAGGTACTATGTTTTCTAAACACTCTAGCTAGCTTGGAGAATATTTTGTGTTATTCATGACCCTAATGGAGCTATTTATTGATCCACTGTGCAACCTAATTAGCGGTGTAGGGTGTAATATCATACGTATCAACTTACCCCCTGCCTTTAAGTAACAGACGTTTAGTACTGATGTCAGGATGAATAAATGGGTAGAAGGTCAATTTTGCCCTTTATAATGGCTGAAATGACATTTTTAACTTTATTGACCATTGCAGAGTTACAAAACTACCCTTATTCATTCAACTGCTTCAATTTTGGAATGAAATATTTTTGATACTACATTCATGTAATAGTCGAAGAAAATTCAGTAAGGCTCTAATATAATAAGCCATACAATATTAATTCATAAAAACCCAATGCAAAAGAGAACTTCATTTCATTCCATTTAAGGTATATGCCAGTATAATACGCCATACAATGGTTGCAAAAACATACCAACCTATTCCACAATAAAAAGTTGCACAGCTATTCTTCTTTAAAAGTAGAAAAATAGCTCACACCAACAGATTGCAAAATAGCAGCAAAAAAAATGACACTGTTCAACATTACATATGTCCCATATCCCACATCATTTCAAGTACTTTTTGGATTTTGAGATCTTCCTATCCCACATCCTCTAGCTCCCAATTGGGTAAATATAGGTATGTATTTCCTTGTTATGTGATAAACCATTTTGTGGCCTTTTCCTTTATGTGGTCCTAGTGAGAGTTCTCTTGTTTGTGTATTTGATGGACATGCATTCTCTGTGTCTCTGTGTGTAGTTGGAACAAAAGAACCACTTTGTCTCTGTAACTGTCACATGCAATAAAAATTAAGATATTAAGGCACTGTATAATAATAATAAAGAACAAAAACAATATAAAAACAGACAATTCGAAACTTTGAATAATAATAATTTTAAAAAGAATCATCAAAATTAAAAAAGAATTTATAATTCGCCCAAAAAGACAGCACTATTATGGGTAACACGAAAAAAAAAAATTGTCCAATTAATACAACTATGAAAGAATTAACAGATTTGTACTAGGTATATATATATATATATTTGATATTAAGAGACAAAAGACAACTTCAAAAAATAATAATAATAAAAATCACTGATTCCTACCAACAAATGGCCTTTGGAAAATTTTCACTAACCGTGCAGAATATATAACATGGAAAAGTGCAAATGAACATTGAGCTATAGTACTAACAACTAAGTTACACTAAGAAATTACTCTACAGCAAAAATTATATCAAAAGTCGAGGAAATTACATCTTATAAGCCTTGATGGATTAAGATGGAAATAGTGAGCTTCCATGATGTGAATGGTAGCTTGTTGGCTAATTAAGTTGCACATTGGATCAATAAATAGCTCCATTAGGACCATAAATAACACAAAATATTCTCAAAGCTAGCTAGAGTGTTTAGAAAACATGGTACCTCGACGCCAAAAAAAGAGACTTATTTTTGCAATTGAAAATGATATTAAATCCCACACCGCTAATTAGGTTGCATATTACATCCATAAACAGCTCCATTAATGCAATGAATAACACAAAATATTCTCCAATCTAGCTAAGCGAGTGTTTAGAAAACATGGTACCTGGTAGCTTGTTGGCTAATTCAGTTATACATTGGATTAATAAATAGCTCCATTAGGGCCATGAATAACACGAAATATTCTCAAAGCTAGCTAAAGTGTTTAGAAAATATGGTACCTCGACGCAAAAAAAAAAAAAAAAAAGACTTATTTTTGCAATTGAAAATGGTATTAAACCCCACACCGCTAATTAGGTTGCACATTACATCCATAAATAGCTCTTTTAACGCAATGAATAATACAAAATATTCTCCAATCTAGCTAAGCGAGTGTTTAGAAAACATGGTACCTGGACGCCAAAAAGTAGTACCTTCAGTTCAAAAATGTAGTATCTTTGGAAAAAAAGTGGTACCTTCTCAAAAGGTACTTATTTTTGCAATTGAAAATGGTATTACACCACGCACCGCTAATTAGGTTGCACATTGGATCAATAAATAGCTCCATTAGGGCCATGAATAACACAAAATATTCTCTAAGCTAGCTAGAGTGTTTGGAAAACATGGTACCTTGATGCTAAAAAAAAGGACTTTTTTTTTGCAATTGAAAATGGTATTAAACTCCACACCGCTATTGAAATTGCACATTACATCCATAAACAGCTCCATTAATGCCATGAATAACACAAAATATTCTCCAATCTAGCTAAACGAGTGTTTAGAAAATATGGTACTTGGACGCCAAAAAGTGGTACCTTCAGTCTAAAAACGTGGTACCTTTGGAAAAAAAGTGGTACCTTCGCAAAAGAGACTTATTTTTGCAATTGAAAATGATATTACACCCTACATCGCTAATTAGGTTGCACAGTGGATCAATAAATAGCTCCATTAGGGCCATGAATAACACAAAATATTTTCCAAGCTAGCTAGAGTGTTTAGAAAACATGGTACCTCGACGCCAAAAACAAGTATTTTTGCAATTGAAAATGGTATTAAACCCCACACCGCTTATTAGGTTGCACATTACATCCATAAACAGCTCCGTTAAAGCCACGAATAACACAAAATATTCTCCAATCTAGCTAAATGAGTGTTTAGAAAACATGGTACCTGCACGCCAAAAAGTGGTACCTTCAGTCCAAAAATGTGGTACCTTTGGAAAAAAAAAAATGGTACCTTTGCAAAAGGGCATTTTAGGCAACACATAAAATAAGAAGAAGGGTATTTTAGGTAACAGAAATATGAAACAGTATTTTTTCATGTGCCACCTTAGCTTTTAGGTCAAACACATTTTAGAGAAATTATTGACTTTGACTCAATGTATGGGTAAATATGGGCCACTAAGTTCATTTATATGTAATAATCCCTAATAATAAAAGAGTTGAGGGTGAAGCTGAATGCTCATGTTTCAAAATTCCAACTCCTATTTGAAACAGGACACACTCTCAGTCCAGTTTGTTTCTTCATAGGTAAGGAAAGAAAGAGCAGAATAGAAATAAACTTGGTTACTCTTTCTGTCACCGACTTTCCATAAGAAGAATACCTACTCTATATAAAACACAAGACTCTACCCACACCCACCACCCTCTTCTTCATTCTAGTGTACGTTTGTTTTCTCTGTCGCTGATCCTACTTTCATCAATCATGTCCGTGTCTGGATCATCGTTGGCTCAGAAGCTCGGCCTTTCTTCTATGGCGGAAAAGTTTGCATCCACCGACAACAACAATAATGTAGGAAGTTTTATCCGGTGGGTGTTGCAATTGGCGCATGTCAAAGAGCAGCCGCGTCATCAAGGGAAACTGAGGTTGGCGCCGGAGCTGGATGGCCTGCACCCTTTGGAGTCCATAATTATTGACTGACTAGTTCATCCACAACAACAAAAGGACAGGCCGAGTAGCTAGAGAAAGATCAAATCAAGAATTTTAATACAATTAGTAGTTATCTATTTTTACTTTAATAATTTACTCTTTTAGTGCTTATTTAGTTGATGCAAGTGTTTAACAAAAGGAATAGATATAGTGTTTTTTAACAGCCTTGTTGATACATTGAGTTGGATATGATTATTGATTATTCTTCCTTTCTTTGTTGGGATTAAAAGAGTATTATGTGTATTTTTGTTTTGTTTATCCTACTGTTGGTCGGAAGCAGCAGGGACGGAGGTAGTTAAGGACCAAGCGAGGGGCACGCCCTTGATTTTCTTCCTTTCTTATATTCTATATCTATTTTATAATAATATATATATTTTTAATGAAAATATAGAAAGTGCCCTCACTGAATTTTCTCATTCTTCATAAAATTCTATATATGTTTTTTATTTTTTTTCCCAAAATTATTTCCTTAATCCTAATTTCATCCCAAAAATATTAGTATCTATTTCTATATATATATATACTCATAAATATTGATTTATATGCACATATATTATATTGTAAATATATGTTATGGTATAATACTATAATATCCCCCCAAAATTTTTTCTAGCAACCAATGGAGCATCCTTTCTAACTCATATTTTTGGAAATAAATTTATCCATCTAAAAATTGCAGAGGAAACAGTAGACAGACAAGCATCAACTCAAGCAATTCCGACCACATAGAGTTGTAGAACTTGCAAGACATTACTGAGTTAATAATGTGGATTGTTACAAAAATTACAATTCTGATAGCGGAAAAAGCCAAAATAATGCCAAAAGCACAAATCAAGAAGAGAGATTACAAAGATACCATTGAGTTTTTCTTCTTGTAAAACGATCCACAAGCAACATTGCCTTCTGGTCGGTGTTAAACTCAAGAACTAATGACCAAAAGCTACAATGATTCTGAAGCCAAAATCAAGTTCTATTCCTCGTGTTAAAACTTTTCTCCGCGCCACTTAGATTCCAAGTTCTCAAAAGCCAGAAATCATGTCACTGAGGCCAAGCTGGGGATTGCTGATTGATTGTGGATGATCTTGGACAACATATGAAAGAATATTGAAATGTGTCACCTTGGTAAACTGAAAATGACCCGTATTCCATAATTAAATAAACTTCACTAGTTCAAACCTCCCTATTGTTAGCCTGGCGAGATGGAGATGATGCCTTTAATTTAGCGACGGTTTACTCCAGTTTGTCGACCTCTGTACAGTCCTGGAAGGTACTCGGTCACTATCTTCCCCACCGGATGGCTCATAACCATCACTTGTTGATCTCGATAATGTGATTCCCTTCTGAGTAGCTGCTGATGATAGACCTGTGAACCGCCTTGCCTCTTCACCACCTAATGAGGAGATCCAGAATGGGTGGGGATCAGGGGAGTCCAAGCTGCTCTCTGGAGAGGAAGCTATTACACCAGCTGAGCTGGACGTAGGTAGGCTTGTCCGGAATGCACTCCTGGCTTCAAGTTGAAGAGGCGCCAAACTGGTTGATGTCTCGGGAATCAGATCACTTCCATTGCCATCAGCAGCTTCTTCAATGGGTTGCTCCACCGGTAGGTGAACCCACTTACCAGCTCGTCTTCTGTTATTGTTATCAGGTCTTGGGACCATCCTACGGCCACTGCTGCCTGCTCCTTGTTGTCCAAAAGGAGCTTCCCGTCTCACCACAGGCTGCAAAATTTTGGACTTCTTTCTTGCCTCTGCAGCAACCTTTGAAACCTCTTCTGCATTCAAGCGCGCTAATGCCCATGGGCTGATCTTAACAGCTCCAGGGTTCTTTTTCTTAATTGGCTCCTCTCCTACCATCTTTTTGCCTAATGACTTAACAGATGCGGTGTCTGGAGGAACTACATCAAACTGGAGAGAACCAAATATTGCAGCAAAATCAATATAAAACGAACAGTTTTGAATATTAATTATATCAGAAAGTTGATACTAGAATTGAAAGTTGCTAAAGTTAATCTAGAATTTATTGTTTCAATTATCATTGCATCGTGAGCAGCCCCAATCACTATGCTGAATCTAATAGTAAAATGGTACTCTGCTGTCATTTCATTTCACCAGAAAATGAGGTATGGCATGTTTCACCTCTTTGGTGAAATTACCGCAGCATTCCTCTGGACCATGATATCCTCATCAGTTGGCACAACCGTAAAAGGCAACAGACTCACAAGTGTTTAGGATCCAAACACAGTTATATTGGCTCAATATTATTTAATTCTATAAACCATGAGAAGTGAAAAATGTCATATATAACTTTGCAAACTATCTCTGAAGGGTTCTTGGCGGGGGTTTTATTATAATTCTGGAATAACATAAACCATTCGGAAAATTCGCTGCTTTAACAATTTGTTGAAAGTTGTTCTAGAAAACTGTTTTCGTAGCCTTTGAGAACTGAAATTGAAAGTTGTTCTAGAAAACTGTTTTCCTAGCCTTTGAGAACTGTTTTCAGATTTTAGAGTTTTTGAAAATTATTTTCAAAAAAAAACTGTACCAAAAAGTCATCCTTGCAATTTGTCTTTCCAAAACTATTTGAAGTGAATTTTATTCTTAAACTATTTTTTTTTAAAAAAATTATTTGCAATGAATTTTATTCTTAAACTATTTAAAATTAGTTTCTTTAAATACATTTCTCTACTCTATAAATTCTTCAAAGGATATTTTTTCTCCCAAACAGTAGAAAGACAAATTACTCCTATGAATTCTATTACCACTTGGATGACTTGAACAATTGGGCAATTGACATACGAAAATTGGACTTGAATTCTATGGAAATATAATTGAGTCATTCCACGAATACATGCTTTTTAACACATCAAAAATGTGGCTGTAGGTCAGTTCCAAGTTCCAACTAGAAAACCTTGTACAACAAAATCAATCTGTTTAAAGGTAGTGACCAGCCCAAACTATTAATTTCAGACAGTATAAATGATAAATGTTACAATAGAGACCTGCAGCAAAGAGTCCGCCATATAATAAGTTATTAACCTATAATTTTAGTCAACACGTCACAACATTGTTTGATATCTATGATTCAACATGTTATTCAAATTCTCTCCAAGATGAAGAACGAATTGGTCAATCATACCTGATCCTCAAGAAATAGGCGTGGAGGTGTACACCATGCACTTCGGTGGATGTTATTAAAGGAACTTGTACTGCTAAACCCAGTAATGGAGCTAATATGTGACATCTGGGGACTTTGCTGAACTCCAACTCCTTGTTGTTCTTGATCCCTCAAAGCTATGATATAATCATATGTGCTAATACCCTGTCACGAAAGGGTAGACAATTTGAGTATTTAACATATTAATTAATTGGTTTTTGTTTTCCCTGATAAATTTCAATCCAACATGCTTTTCCAAACACGGAAAAAATAGCCAGAAATGTTTTTCCAAAGAACAAAATAAATATTGGAAAAAAAAAAAAAAAAAAAAAAAAGAAAAGAAAAAAAGAAAAGAAAAGAGAAGAGCATCATCGCAGAATCTACAGAATTAGGCACGAAGGATGACATCAAGGCTTACCTTCTTTATGAGAAGAATGTGAAAGAAGAAAAGCTGAGCAAGAGGCAGGATCGCAATCGTGGCTAAAATGGTGCATACTGCCTGTCACAATGTGAAAGTTACATTTTGTGAGTTGCAAAGAGAACCAGCACTGGGCTGGATACTAATATTGAATGAAGGATTATTTTGCTTGGTTTTCCATTTGCCTTTTTTCTCTAATAACGGATCAAGAGCTTTTGCCAAGTAATCTTCTCATACGGATAGGGCACTGCCCACTCATATTGCTTGCCAAAAACCTGGGAAGATGTCTGGCCCTTACGCAGAAAGCCAACCAAATTCAAGACCTTCCACTTGCTAAGTCTTATGCACTGAGACCGACTATTTTTCCCCCCAGGGGTTTATGTTGATTGTGAGTTAACAGAAGCTTGGGAATTTCATAAGGTTGACCAGCATGGGTAGTCCATCAACTTAAACAAAACAACAGACAGAACAATTTAATTTGAAAGGATAAGGAAAATAATAGAACACGCACCACAACTATAACAAAGGGAAACACTGAAAAACTGTTTCCTAATCTTGAGGTGATTTCTGCAGAGAATCTCTTGCGCTCAAAAAAGCAGCAGACCATTACAAGGATTCCGATTGAACACTGAAGCACAAGCTGCAATTTCAAGTCCAAGGTGCAAAAACCATGTATATATCTGTCAGTAATCAACAAAACTAAAGAATGATATGTAAACACACCTACTCTTCGAGGCGATTTTATGGATTTTCCATGTCATTTGAGGGTGAAAACTTCAGGATTTCAGAAATATTTGAGACCAAGGCCGATTCTAGAGAATTTGGGAGCTAATCATGAACTAATAATGCGGGTAAATATGGATGACGGTGGTTGAATAATTGAGTTATCGTTGGGACTATCTCACCTGGGAAAATAGTTACTAGTAATAATTATCATAATCATAATAATGATAGATGGCTGGAAAAAATGCATGCTTGGTAAAACGGTTTTTTATGTTGTTATCCTTAAGTAATCAGATTTACTTCACAGAGTTCCGAAAAACAATTCTCGACATGGTCATAGTATCAGTACGTAAAAATAATAAATACATCAACTGAATGACCACACTGTTCAGAATTCTAAATCAAGACGAGAGTATGCCCTGATGGGAATTAGAGCTGTTTGCACAAAGACTGGTGAGAATTGGGGTATGTGGATTCTGGAAGCTGGGTAAGTTGAAGGCAACATTGGACAGAAATACACGTAGTATGGAGGCCCATGCTTACCAATAGAAGGGCCGAAACCATGAGGGTGAAGAACTGCCTGTAGTTCTTTCTGCCTATACAGTTATTGAGCCACTACAAAACAGAAGATAAAATAGGCATTAAAAGTAATGTCAATAAAATAGGAGAAGTCCAACCAATAAATTATCCAGTAATACCCTGCAATGGTGATCGAAATGGTCAACGCATTTGTCACAAACTCTGCAATGCTTGCTATACTTGAAAACCTGCAAGCGAATAATTATTTGAATCATATAAGCAACTAAGAAAATCCATCAATAAATATTGGAGTGGAGGCTAGATAGGTTCTTGGTCCAGTGAGTTTGATATGTAAAGCAACAATCAAATTATGTTTCTGGAAACATCATTGGTGGAACCAGTAAAGTGGAATGCCAAGCTTCTCAATACCATGGCATTGAGAAGATAATAGCTGAGATGCACCTGCTGGTACTTTTTTCCTTGTTACAGAATAAGGAAAGCGTTTAAACAACAATTAAGAAAAACATAGACATCACTCTTAATGTCAGATGCACCTACACACCTCTACTTCACACAAACTACAGTAGAACATGCCATCTTCGCTCATTTGTTGCTCAGAAGATTCTTCGTGAGAATTTGAGAAGTTGCACATAGAAGCACAAGGAAGTAACGCTAAAAGAGCCATAAAACAAGATGAACGGTGAGCTTGTGCATTCTTCTTTTCAATTTCAGTAGCATAAGCTTCAACTGTTGCAGCATTGGCATCTTGTATTGATGAATTTGATTCCCCACCTAATTTAGATTCCTTGAATGGGGCCTGCCTTTTTCTATCCCGAACTTTAAGATATTTTTTGGACTTGAAGACTCCAGGATCGGCGGGATCAGCTGCCGCACACCAAATATATAGGCCAAAGACGCATGTAATCTGCAAAGAATATATTTAAAGTTCTATTAAGAATCCAATAATGCAACAGCAAAAAGGGATAGGATGAGTCATGAGGGATAAGTTTTCATATTTATGACAAATTCTTAACCATATACAGTGAATTACAAAGAAGACTAATCTAGGCCTATCTTATATTGTACGTAGAAATAGGTTGCAGAAATCACATTACCCCACCAATGACACTTGCAATCTCAGATTCAAGGAATTCAGAATTCTACTTTCAATTTGTAACTAAAATGTACCTACCAAAAATTGTGATTAAAACATAATCATTTATTTCATAAAAAGTCCATAGGGAACTTCAATATAAGGTCATTTGCCATTAAATCTATTAATTCCACTAGCTTGATTACAGAGAAAAGGTTTCACTGATACTGTATATTTGAGACATGTGGGAAATATTGACTGTCAGTTGATTACTACATTCCAGGGAATGTTGTTGCTGAAAATCATATACAACTACAATTTGGAAGTATGCAACTTCTTTTTATTTTTATTTTTTTTGGATCAAGCAGCATGCAACTAGAACACATGCATATACGTCTTTGTGTGCTAATCTCACATATAATAGCACCGAAAGTCTCTCAACAAGTAAACAATAACTATTATTAAGTAAAGAGACCTACAATATACAGAGATTACCCACCTCGCGCGTCTACTATCCCACAAATATAAATTAGATAAAAACAAAGCAACATAATAACTTCAAATTAGCATCCAAATTCTACAACTTTCAGTTTTAGAAAATTTATCTTCTTATGGTACGAAGTCTGATATTAAGTTGTGTTGACATGAACTTTGGCTTAGAGAGACATTTTAAGGAAATGATTTTTGTAATTTTAGTTTTGCAACAAGGAAAGATAATTTAGCCTATGTGAACTGTAAATTGAGTTAGAAAGGTTCATATTCACAGCAAGAAATCAATTGATGTATAAAGGTAATCCAGATGCACACGTGTATGATTTGGTTGACTAAATTCTAGTATGGTGAAAACAATTTTCAAGAACTTTGAAATTCATAAAACAATTTTCAAGGAACTACAAAAGATTAATTTCTTAAATTAGGCCTTCTTCTAACTCAATTTCTGAAAACTGTCATATAAAATATTTTAAACTGTTTTCAGCTTTATGAGAACAAAAAATATATTCCGAAAGCTACACCATGCATAAACTTAGCTCAGAAGAAGTTCACTTAAAATACAGTGTTTGATTGAATAAATGATATGACTTGTAATAAGGATGTCATTGCTCACAGGTGAGTTATGAAAGATCTTGAAGAGATTGATTCTTTGTTAACTTTTTTCTACACTTTGTTCAGTAGTTTCAAGTTTGATAAGCAATTTTTTTCCTTTTAGTTGGTAGCAGTACTCTATTTAAACAGTAATAGGAACAACCAGTACATAAATAGTTTGTGCATCACACAGAAACAAATGATTATTTATCACCCATGACACAGCTGGAGATGCTAAACTTGCCACTGGAGTTTTATATTCTAAACTTAGTATGGATAAGAAGTATAAACTGCAAAAGAGATTTAAAATGTACTAATGTTTGCATGAATGGGGATTAACTTGAGTCACTCTTCTAATCATGATGCAATAACCAGCAATTGCATCAATTAATGGGTAATTTTTTACTCAAGTTCCTACAAAAGGCTACGCTTCGTATGACTGGCCTCAAAACGATATTTTTCGATGCAAATACAATAAACATCAATTAGATCCTTTTACAAAACCAAACACACAAATTATCCTAACCATCAATTAAATCCTTTAACAAATCCAAACACACAAATTATCCTAGCATCCAACGATTACTTGTTTCAACTGCTAAGATGAAACAGCTAGTTTCCACAAATTCAAAGTTGAAGTTCACAATGATGTAAAAAACACTAGTTAGACAGGCTTTGGATTAAACAAATTCATAACGAATGTCAAACACTACTACTCATATAACCTAATACCTATCCAAAATTCCAAATCAATCAATGTGCAACAAAATTCAACAAACAACCACGGGATTTGGCCAATTGTTGGGCTGAATTTATGGAGAGCTTATTCATATGTGGGTAAATGGATTTCAGGAATAGTTATTGAAATAAGGCCGCCAACAGAGCCCTCTCATGACAAGAGTCATGAGCTCTCTTTTTAACTGTTGGATTAAGAGATGTATCTAACTTTTCCTAGATCTCAAAAACTCTCTCAATCCAGTAATTAAAGAAAGGTCATGGCTCTTGTCATGAGAGACTCTCTTGATTGCCTTATTCTAACAACAGTGATTGCTAAAAATTGCAATGTTCTGGGATTTTTCAACATTTGAAACTTAAATAGCAAAATCCAAGTTCATTATTAAATGTTGTCAGAAAATGGAACAAAATCCAATCTTTCAATGGACTAAATTTAAGTACATAACAAGTGCAATTAAAATCTGAAAGTCAAGCAACCCATTTGCATTATCAGATAGAGAACCTTTGGAAGAAAGTTGCTAAAAAAAAGAAGAAGAAGAAGAAGAAAGTTGGATATTAAATCCTTTGTCAGAATATGGGTCTCGCAATTTAATATGTTCAGAATGTGTACAATTAGGGATCCATTAGTTTTACAACTAAAATCTATAGAACAAGCAACACAATTTCCCCTCCTTTAGCAGCTAAAGAACATCAGAACTACTGATGAGAAAACTAATTTAAAAAAAAAAAAAAAAAAAACAGAGGAAAACACAGATCTCAGCACTATTGAAGAAACAAAAAATGCATGCAGAGACAAAAAAGGAGAATAAGAAATATATAATGAGAAATGGCTCACAAGAGGAGTGTAGAGTCCTATCACAATATACTGAAACACCTTCTTCCCAACAAAAGGGGCAAAGAATACATAGAAAGCAAACCCCAATGCCATAAATACAGCAACAGCTACCACCTGCACAGATGGGTACAAACAAACACCCAAAGTCAGTATTAGAACATCATAAAAATTCACATATATGTGTATAACTGTATATATGCTAGAGAGGGAAAAGGACCTGGAGAGGATGGTGTGGAAGCTGCCATCCATGCTTCCTCATTTTCTAATTGAATGTTGCAACTATAAAGAAATTGCAAGAAAATGTATGGGGGCAAGAGGGGAAAAAATTGTCTTGGTTTACTTTCTTTTTTCTTCTTTAATTTGGCATTTTCTCTTACTTTCCCTCATTTTCAGGGAAAGATTGGAATCACTAATGGCAAGCCAAACAGAAGGTCCTTGAATATTTTCCACCAGTATTATCAGTGAGAAAATGCAGAGAGAAAAAGGGCACCAAAAAGAGCTGAAGGAGATGATAAGAGAGGAGGGATGGACAATGGCTAGCAACCTTTGTCTGCTTCACTCAATAATACACTCACCTTGGTCACGGATGGTGAAGAGAGACAGAGAGGGGATTTGGGTTTTTCTTGTCTGTTGAAAACCTTTTACAGGGACAAAGATCTGTAACTCTGTGTCTGTGTGTGTGTGTGTGTGTGTGAGAGAGAGAGAGAGAGAGAGAGAGAGAGAGAGGGTTGATGGTGGCTTGGTTTTTCTCTCCAAGCCTATGATTATCTTACAACCACTCTTTCACTTTTCTTTTCTTTTCTTTTCTTTTGCTTCTTCCGTGACCTTTTTCCATGGGCAAATAATGTGTAGGTCAGTATGGCAGCCAGTTGTTTGGTTCTTTTGCAATTTCAAGTGGATAACAAATCTCATACAACAATGTCGAAAATATATATATATATATATTTATATACACCACACATAATATTTTTACATTAAAATATTTTATTATTGTGGAGTGAGGATTTGAATTCAGGAGTATAGTGAGAATTTTTTTTAAAAAAATATATAAGAATAAGAAGGAAAAAAAAAAAAAAGGAAAGTAAAATCTTTTTAAAAGAAACAAATTATAGCATGATTAAATAAGGGAAATTTAACTTTTAAAAAAGTTAATTAAAGAAATTTAAAGAGTAAAAAGAGAAAAAATATAATAAAAAAATTAAAAATTGGAAACTAATACTTTTAGGGATATAATATACAAATTTCTATGTGTGTGTGTATGTGTGTGTGTATAATAAAATAGAATAAAAATCATATATATACATAGTGCACGGCATACTTTAGTGGCATTGTATCATCAATTTAATGATGTTACTTAGTATTTTTTTATTTAATTGGAATTCAAAGTATAGTACATAAAATATATTGGAAAACATTTGGGTCACCAACCATCTTTAAAGCTTTTAATACCTCTTCTACCATTTAATATTATATACGGGATAAGTACAGAAAATATTTTTAAAGTATATTTCGAGTAGCATTTTTATTCTCTATTTGAAAATGTGAGGAAAAAACACTCTTAATCTTTTCACATTGTGCAAAAATATCCCCTCTAACATAAATTAATACTGTAATACTCATTTTGCCTTTTTACTCTTCCAAAAATATCCAAAATATTCAATGGGATATATATGTTACTAATCTTATAGTATATGGGTGTTATGTGCACATTACCTTATATTTAAAAAAAAAAAAAAAAAAATTGTCTATATTTATCTCTAAACTAAAAAAAAAAAAAAAAAAAAAAAAAAAAAAAAAAAACTTTGAGAATTTGTAGAACAATTATTTGAATTTTTTAAGATTTCAATTTACTATTTTCTACTAATTTTTTTCTTTATTTTAATTTCTTTCATACCAATACTGTTAAATAATAAAATAAAAATAAAAAATCTCAATATCAATGTATACTAGTTTTCGGAGTTTGAAAAAATTTTGTTTTCTTTACTTTGCACTTTATTTTTGTTTTTTATTTTTTTATTTTTTTCTTTACTTTTCTTTTACACTTTAATTTTTATTTTATATTTTATCTTTGTCCATTTTTGGCGCCCTCCAATAGTGTCATTCTCGGTCATTTTATAAAATTATTTATTTTTATATATTTTATAAAATAGTTCCGTAAAGATAATTTAGTCAACTTAAGGTTTACATTTGTCAAAGGGACCTATTTGTACCCGATTAAAACTTTAGGGGTGTTTTTTTCACAAGAGGGGCATTCTACAATAGTGTTCTTTTCGATTATTTTACAAAATTATTTATTTTTATATATTTTATAAAATAGCTCAGTAAGGGTAATTTAGTCAATTTAAGGTTTAAATTTGTCAGATGAACCTATTTGCACCAAATTAAATTTTTAAGGGTATTTTTTACACGTGAGAGATGTGATATGCACTATAATATATATTTTAAGGATATTTTCTGCACTTAACCCATTACATATGCTTATACACATATATATATCTTAATGTTCGCTTATGAAAAAATACTAGCACATTTTCAATGCATTCGCGCCCAAACAATCAAATAAGTCAATCAAGATGACAACTTGATTCCTCTCCTAGTTTGTTTTAATCCAATCCTTAATCTAAATTTCTAATGCACATATTTTGCCATTTCATCTCAAATAGTGTAATTTTCACCTTCAAATAAAAGTTTTAACAAAAAAATTCATAAATAATTCTTATTAACTTATGCTATTGCAACAAATAAAAGCTTTAACAAAAAAAATTAAAAAATAATTCTTATTAACTTATTCTATTGCAACATTAAATAATAATTCTCAACCCTAAAACTCTAACTGAGAAATCTAGTCGAGAAATTCATATTCTTTTGATAAAATAGATTAAGTCCTGATCTTATTTATTTCATTTAATGGATGAACTAGACTTCTCGGTTACAGTTTTAGGTTTAAGTAACATTGTCCAGCACAATTATTATTTTTTTTAATAAGCATTAGATGGGCAGAGAGACCAAACAAATATTATTTTTTTAATTTAAATTTTTTTTTTAGCAGTCGTTGCAAATTTGCAATTCTTTCTCTAACTAAAAAGGGGTGGTTGGTGCCTAGAGAAATTTAGGTTTGCTTCTAGTCCACAAAGTCATGTGTCAGAGCTATGCCTAGTAAAACCATTCAATAGGGGTTGAAGAACATATTTATTTATTTTTTTAATTTTTTAATAACAATGTTTGAAACTTTGAATACATTTTTTATTTTTTATTTAATAACAATGGACATATCAAAATTCAATGATTCAGTCATTTATCAAATAAGCAAACAAAAGGAACAGTTGAACAACCATTTGTCGTTAACAACTGCACCCCTCCCCAGTGTATAAAGAAAAGGAAGAGTGACAGATAAAAAAATTAGTATTTCATAAAAAAATGAATTAAACATTTTTTATGTTGACTAGTGAAATTCTAAAAAAGTGAGACAATGTACAATGTTTATACAAATATACATATTATAAATTATTACTTATTATATCTATTGAGTGAGATTATTGTAGAACTTTAATTCAATTTTAATTTTTGTACAAAGAGTTTCTCCTAGAGTTAGTAAATATTGTAATAATGATTATATATATATATACCATTTCACTACTTTTGTCCTTCCAACTATGCATTTGTCACAAAATATCAATTTATGCTTACTTTTGACTACGTATATATTGTCAATTTTTAAAAAGAAAAAAAGTTATAGATGTATGATGTGGCTTTGCTATTTATTTAAGTTCAAATGCAATAATTTCAGAAGCATAGCGGTAGTGGCAGGGATTCGAAAGATAAGTCATTGAGGTATCGTTTTCGAACTGTACTGTTAACTTAAATGATACATTTATTGTGAGGCTTATATATGTGATCTTAAAAAAAAGAAAAAATTCATGCAATGACTCAACCTGAATGAAGACATTTAATTTATACTATGACTTTGCTTTTCGCATAATATCAATGTATGCAGACTTTAAATTCTATTCTTAAATTCATTCCTAACTCAATTTGGATGATCCCTTGAGACGGCATAAAAATTAAAATTTTTATTGCAATTGTATTTGGAAAACACTCTCAAAACTACACAATCGTTCAAAAAGTTTTTTACACATTTCATGTTTTTTAACGCTAGGTATAATTCATTTACTAAAAAAATCCAAAGCGTGACTACCCTATCAAAAAATAATTACAACTGTAGTATGCTTTACATAGGCATTGATGTGAATATATAGTATCAATCTGATGTGAGTTGAGATTATAGACGATCATTATTTTGCCACCTGTTTACTCCAGTCCTACGTTCAGTTAATTGAGTGGGGCCTACCTGGTATGGACCGTCTTCATTCTGATGTGACCAAATCAAGTTGGGTACCAAACATCAGGTTACAGGTACTCACCTTGATCCTTTATCCACGGTTGCAATTAAAGCCACATCATCTTTGTACAGTTGTACTGTACCATATCATTTATTAACTTGTCTTTTTTTTTATTTTATATATTAAATAAAGGGATAAGTGCAAAAAACACCCCTTTATTTTCAAAAAGTTGCAAACAACACCCCTACTGTTCAAAATTGACTCTCCTAATTTCAAAAAGTTACAAATAAAGGCTTTTTGTCAGAGAGGAAGGTTAAAATACGAAAATACCCCCCAATATTCTTTATTCAATAATAATAAAAAAATTGAAGAAGATAAAATTACCCAAATAGACATTGACCTAAACTACGTCGTTTTGGGTGATGTGGGTAATGAAATCTTATTTCTTTCGGCTTTAATTTTTGTTTTGGGTGAATTTCTCTCTCTTCTCTTAACTCGCTGATGTTCATGGTGAAGGACGGTTTTCATTCAAGCCACCTTTGTCCCTCGGCTTCGCCGTTCTCCTCATCATTCTCCTTGCCGTTGACCGTCGTATCATCAATCTCAAATCAAACCGCCTGTAAGCATTCTTACCAAATATATATGAAAGCCCTAATATCCAATCTCTCCTCACACCACCTCCTACTACGCCACACTCTTACCACCGAAGCCGTCAAGATTGCAGAATCGCCCAATCAAGTGAAATGGGGCTACAGGGAACCAGAAATCAATCACCCCTCTGGGTTAGTGGTTGCCTAATATCGCCGTCAACACTTACGTTTTCCTCGCTGGACTCGTCTGTAACTGGATCCTCCGTTTGGAACAAGCGTCCTTGGGGGCGATCTCAACAAGATTATATTCGGTTTCTCAATTTTTTTGTTATTCATGCCGTCCAGATGAGGTGTGTTATTCACATCGTTTGGTTTGCTCAATTTTTTTGCTCGAACGTAGTTTTAATGGCGAACGAGTTGGACTCAGCCAAGTTGGGGTTCGGGTATGGCCTTTTCCCCATCAGGCTCTTTCCCAACTTTCTCCTCTGTTGCTCTAATTTCATTTGGCTCACTATTTTCAGTGTTTGTTTTCGGATTGTTGCCATTTTGGTTAATGTAGCAACTTTTTGGTATGTCAAAAGTTCTTGGAGCTTCAAGGTATTGCTTGCTGGTGGGCAGCTCCAATTATTATCGTGGTTGCATTTTTTTTTTTTTTTTTTCATTCATGTTTGTAGATTTTTATTCTCTTCCAAGTATATAATATGTTAGTGTGATTTTAGGTTAACGAGGTGTATCGCATTTTCCTGAATTCTTAGTGTATATGTCTTTAAAAAATAAATAAAGTTTGTTTTTTTAGCAGACCTTCTTATTATTAATTGTGCTTTAACAGTCTAAAGCTGTTATTTAATTTCGTAATTTGTCTGTTTTATAAGCAGATTGATATTATAAAAGGTATTATACTCTGCAGCCTGCACTAGACTTGACCAAATTCTGAACCATA